GAAGTTGAAGTCCACTCATCTTAAAGTGGCCAAGTTTGGACAACACTGGCCTACGCCATTGTGGCAAGTGCCTACGTCAATGCTGCTTTTGTAAGGTGCATGTTTTCCTCGCTTGTTGGACTTACGAACAAAACGGACTTACGAACAGCCTCTCAGAACATAACCCATTCATAAGTAGGGGACTGTCCATATACAGGTCACATTTTTGATGCAGATATATTGAAAATGCAAAAGGCTTCACAAACTCTAAAAGCAACACTGTAAATAAAAATATTCATCCTGGCGGTTTGGGACATGGAATAGTTGATGGGCTGGAATTTTAGCCTTGGCCTTCTGGCAATGCTTATCAAGTCCATGATAAGTCCACTGAACATAGTTCCTTTAACCCTTTATGTCAGGGATGGGCAACCTGAGGAAATTGCATGACGGACCCAACCTCTTTTTCTGATCTCTGAAGCTGCTACTGACCACAACTGCTAAAGACCAGCTGCATGGCTCCCTGCCATCCTGAGACTGGAAACACACACAAACTGACACAAAACCCTCCAACAAGCGAAATGGGGCTAAGAAGAAAATATGGAGGGAGGGAAGGGGAAGGCAAGGGGGAAAGAAACAAAACTCTCACCTCACCTGGGCCTCTCTATTTTGCATCACTATCATCATTAACCTGCCCATATTGTCTTCTCCCCCCCAAAATGTTGAGTGAAGTTCTCAAACACAAAAAGCTTGCCGATCTCTTCTTGACGTTAGACCAAACTCAGGGGCCTGCTGTGTGTTGCAGACAAGCTTTCTTGTACCCTCTGGCAGGTTTTTACGTCTCTCTTTCCTTTAGCATCTTAAATCCAGCTTTGCAATCTGTCACGAAGTTTATGAGGTTCATGGGCATAACAGAATCAATCACTGAAGGCTTTAGCACACCTCCCAAGTCCACCTGGATGATTGCCATAAATTTGCTTTGCTCTGGATTCCTGAAAGAGAAGAACAGCATTTTATCAGAGTCCTGAGAAAACCCACCATCTTGGCTTGCAGCACTTGGACCAACTATGGATTTGCAAGTCTCTGCTTTCTTCAAGACCTCCAACTAACTCTTTAAAAATGAGCGCAGAAAGACGGGAGTAACATGCACTCATTCAGGCAATATCAAACCGTCATTTGGCACTGCAGGAGAACCAACACAGTCAAGTTCATGTAGAGTACTTCCAGCTTTCAGGTTAAATGTTCTCCCAGTAATAGATGTTTCTGCAGTTGAGGCTCTCAAAATGCTTACTCTGGTAGTGGAATACAGGCATAGCCAGAAGAGAAAGTAGTACCCCGAACATAAGCTTGAGTTGGAGGGACATCTGGATGATTCACACTGACAGCTATAAGAAAGAACAAAGGGAATTTTAAAATCTGTTCCAATGGTCAAGCTGTATGAATCTGAAAGCAGTCCAAATATGAAATCAGATTTCTCTAAAGCAGTTTTTCTCAACCTCGCCAACTTGAAGCTGTATGGACTTAAACTCATGCTGGCTGGGGAATTCTGGGAGTTGAAGTCCATACAGCTTCAAGTTGGCGAGGTTGAGAAATTCTCCTCTAAACCATAGACCGTGGTTATAAATAAATGGGACAGTTTAAGAGGTGAAATTGATTTCTTAAGACATTTCCCCCTTTAGAACAGTACTTCTCAATGTATTGTCAACGGCTTTCACGGCCAGCATACGATGGCTGGTGTGGGTCTTCCGGGCTGTGTGGCCGTGGTCTTAAAGTTTTGTTTCCTAACGTTTCTGAAGATGCCGGTCACAGGTGCTGGC